GCCTGGAGCCTATCAGGAAGTGTAGGAAGGCCTGGAGCCTATCCCAGGCAGTATAGGAGGGCCTGGAGTTTAACACAGACAGCACGGGAGGGCCTTGAGCCTATCCCAGGCAGTATAGGAGGGTCTGGAGCCTATCTCAGGCAGCACGGGAGGGCCTCGAGCCTATCCCAGGCAGTATAGGAGGGTCTGGAGCCTATCTCAGGCAGCACGGGAGGGCCTCGAGCCTATCCCAGACAGCACAGGAGGGCCTGGAGCCTATCCCAGGCAGTATAGGAGGGTCTGGAGCCTATCTCAGGCAGCACGGGAGGGCATGGAGCCTATCCCAGGCAGCATAGGGCGGCCTGGAGCCTATCCCAGGCAGCATAGGGCGGCCTGGAGCCTATCTCAGGCAGCACGGGAGGGCCTGGAGCCTATCCCAGGCAGGGAAGGAGGGCGTGGAGCTTATCCATGGCAGCACAGGGCACAAGGCTGGAATGGGATGCTAGTGCGTCACAGGCACATTAATACGTTGTTGGGAATTTAGAGATGCCAGATAACTTAACTGCATGTCTTTTGACAGTGCAGGGAAACTGGAGTGTCTGGAGGAAAACCCCATGACAGGGGGAGAGTGTGCAACACATACACAGGCAGGGTTTATAATCCCAGGCCTGCAGGTGTGAGGCTGCAAGGCTCCCATTGGGCCAACCTGCCACCCAACAGTTTTAACATGCGTTAATCCTTCAGTGCATTTCCTGTGTCCAAGTACACATTCCTCTAGACCAGGGGTCTACAACTCCGGTCCTGGAGAGTTACTATCCAGTAGGTTTTCTATCCCACTTGGCTTCTGATGAGCCACAGCTGTCCCTGGTATTTACCTGAGAACAAGTGTGGCTCATCAGAAGCCGGGTATGATAGAAAACCTACTGCACGGTAGCTCTCCAGGACCAGAGTTGGGGACCTCTGCTCTAGACACAATCAGAGCATATTCTTCTAAAATATTCAGGCCACAGATAATTCTTTCTCTTTCTCCCATGTCACTGTGAGTAGAAACATTAATGCAGGTGCGGACGAAGTTTGTGGAAAAAGTCACAGGACCCACCTTAAGCCTGCTGCTGGATGATCTTCTGATGGACGGGGTCTTCAATGAAGGGGAGATGGAGCAGGTAAAGGAGGAGTTCAGAATGAGAGCGGAAAAGGCGCGGGCGGTCATAGATATGACACGGAAGAAGGGCAATGCAGCCAGTGACAAGCTGATCGCGCGACTCCAGCAGCGAGACCCCTCACTGTTCCAGGACCTCGGCCTGGTCGCGTAAACAGGAGGCCAGTTCCACATCTTCTCTGTAAGCATTACCTATTTCTTTATTACTTGCCTTCCTGCATTAACACTGAAAAAGGTTTAAACTTGTGATGCTGAAGGCATTTGTATTTTTTCATGGTGTTTAGGCTGTCGTCACAGGACTCGTCCACGAACCAGCAGACCCACACAAAGCCAGACAATCAGTGGACATCCACAGTCTGCTGACTCATCCCTGCCTGCCTGGGAAATGTTTATTCACTCTTTCGTGGCATTATAGAGTATTCATGTATGCATGTCACAGTATGTATTCCGCAAAATTAAATGTCGGGCGCGCAAAATGTTTCGCAGTTGAAAGTTTGTGAAATCAACAGAATGTTAATCAGACAATTTTTTTTAAAAAAGCTTAAGTTCTCTGTACTCACCTGTTGTTGTTAAATGTGTTCTTTGGTAATACAGTGAGGTTTTAAACATCATCTGTTTTTTGGTGTACAGTATGTGCAACTTCGCTGCAATTCTGCAGCAAATGGAGAAACAGGGCAGTCGTCTTCACAAAACAATTTTAACATTTTATTTATAGTCAACAACATTTTTTACAGACACCTTACTGTTTAAAATTGCATAAGCTTTTTAAAATCGTAATACTCAGCCATTATTAAAAAAAAATTGAACATGGATATTACACGGTAATTGCCCAAAACTATTCAGTTACATTATCATTTAAAATGATTTGTTAACAGTAGTGGTTTGGCTGGTCCCACAGTAAGTCAAAATGTATGAATATATTCATATAAGACATGTAAATTCTATTTTCTGCTGTAACATCCAGGCTGTTGCACTGTGATCTGAAAGTAGAATGGAGTCCATCACAGCTTCCAAGGATGGCTTTGGGCATCTTCTGCAAACTCGCACTTCTGATTGGCTGCATGTGACACGGGCCTTGACACATCTTTGGTTTTGGCCGACAGGTGACAGCAGGGGTGGG